CGGTTGCTATGATGTGCACTGACCACCAGGGGGAAAAGGTTCAACACAGGAGTTGCCTCCTGGTGGTCAGTGCGCTCCCACAGCAGGAGTGCCACTCAGCTGACTGAGGGGCGCCAGATGCAGGACTCACAGCTGGCTGCTGCAGCCCGGAGACTGCAGCAGAGTGGCAGCGAGCCTACCGAGCACTGGCACAAGCACCGGCAGGCACAGTGGGGCTGGGATGAGCAGAAGCAGCAGGCAAGAGCAGCAGGCAGCATGAGATAGCCAGTTTCAGCCCCATCCCCATAGGCCATGTCAAGGAACCCCATCAGTGCACAAATCTGTGCACTGGGCCTCTAGTTTATTATATAAGACAGAATTCCCCTGTTCTAGTTTCTCTAGCTATTAAATAAAGCTGTTACCTAAAAATTACTGCCTGGAATACTTTCTAAGTAAAATAAAATAAACAACCTCAGAATCTACTGTAACTTTATAATATCAGCTGCCAAGCAAAAACACTAGTTTCTTGTACCACTGTTCTTTGAAGTTCCTTTTGGGATTGCATGCTCGGAATAATAAGGATAGCAACTACTTATATCATGTCTACTATGTGTCAGGAACTATCTGATATGCTTTACACATATTAATTCATTTAATGTACAAATATCTACGAGCTGTGTATTATTATTATTATCCCCGGTTTACAAATGAGGGAACTGAGGCAGAGAGTTCCTTGCCAAAAGTCACAAGACTATGAAGAAGAGAAACCAGAGATTAAAACCCAAACATTCTGCTCAGAATCAGTGCTTTTAAACCTTCATGCTAAACCAAGCATGTAGGTGGTACTGAGAAATTCTACAATTCAATACGACAATCATAAAGTTTGCCAGCCAGAGGAATTTTAAATACCAATTCCTCTACCGATCTACTTGGGGCACAGAGAGGTATGTATTGAACAAATTTCTAAGAATTTTTAGGAATAATTAACTTAATGTTTCATTTCATTTAAAGCAAACAAAGCCTCTCTCTGAAATGTCTCTTTCTGGCAAGAGGCTAGTCCTTCACCAAAACACACTGGTGCTTTCTATCGAATACATCTCATACCCTCTAGCCACAACATTAAAATATATATTTTTAAAACCACTCACAGGGGAAAATGTGATCGTATTTTAGCTTTATGCTTCAGTCTCTAAGTCTATTTTTAAATAAGACTCTCTAACGATGCAGAAGACTTCTTGAGAAAAATAACGATTCTAGAATATACAGATTCTAGAAGAACTTAAAAGTAGTAAAAATAAAGTAATTGAGAGACTAAAATGTCAAGAGCCAAGAGAGTGATGTGCAGAGCGTATCGAGATGAAAAGAAATGAAGGCAAAAGAGGAGAAGCGACAGCACAGAGACCCAGATACTCCAGGAGCACATTGATGTAACCAGCAGCTCCCTCCCTCCCTACATGCACAAAAGTAATTGTACTTAAGCAATAAATGTCAATTCTGATGCACTAACTTGTTTTCTGTAAAGGTACAAATGCATCAATATGTTATATTTTGAAAATAGAAAAAAAAATGTGTAAAAATTTAGTTTTCTGATTTTGTGAAGACTTGGATACTTAGAGGTTTTCCCCTGGAATAAGTTAATAATAATAATAATAATAATAATAATAATAATAATAATAAATCTATTATTTTAAGAATAAATCTATTATTTTGAAAGTCCTCCAAGATATTAACTTATTGTTAACTTAAAGAGTAAGTCCAATGTGTACTCAATTTTAAAATTATTTAAGAGGCTATTCCAAATAGTCCTCATTCAGTATCTGGGGGGGGAAAAAAATCCCCAAATTCAATTAGGAATAGTTAATCATGTTTTCTTACTAACCCACACAATGACTGAATGATATGGACATATTCTGAAAGTAGGAATGGTGATGGGTTTAACAGATACAATACAGCAGTCTTGTGCGGCCCCAAACACCATTTTTAAAGGCTAAGAATGTGAATAAACACTGCAAGAATTTCCAAGCTAGAGATATAACCAAGGGCAGCCTTGTGAGCTACATATACTGCCTATAATGTTTTTCTCACGTTCTCAAGTTCTCATTTGAAATCCGACAACAGCTTAGGAATTCAGAAAGTCAGGTGAGAAAACACACAACCTAACTCTAGGTTATGTAGGTCTGTCTCTATGTACATAAATATATAGACGTTCTATAGCTCCATCTGGATTCAAATACCTCACTACACACTTTACAGAGCCAACAACAACAACAAAAGATTTACCAGCCAATAATCTCCAATCCTTTCATTACACATCACTATACTCAACTCCAAAACCTAGGTGAGAACCTTAGCAAGCACTGAATGCAAATGTTATGGCCCTGTTCACAAGCCACCTGACCCAGTGTGTCATTTACAGGCACAGCTGAGTTTGTACGGATAGCCACATGCTGGCCCCACAAGATGGAATTCCAAGGCCTGAAGAACCTTCTGGTACGTACACAGAGGGACCCAGCTGCTGCCTGCTCAGATCAGCGCATTGGGGGGCTCTTGGCAGCTTTCCTCTAATGTGGCCAAAGTGTCTGAAGAGGAAACCTAGGGCTTGTGTCCCTAAGGTCATGACTGTCTCACTGGAATCCAAACCAATACATGAAATACTTGTAGCCTTTGAATGATACCATCTACAAAAGCTTAAAGCCAAAGCAGTTGTGCGAAAAATATGAATTCCTTAAGCATCGTTAAAAGTAATATAACTCCGCTTCAGAAGGAATCTTTAGAAACAAGTTTACTCATTCCGTTACACGAGAATGAGTAGAACAGGAGAACGGAACCTTTCTTTCTGGGGAAAGATCAACTTTGGTTTCGCCAGGATCCACGTGCACAGGGGTAAGTCACTACATAACTAGTGTCCTCTGTCCTGCGGGCTGGAATAACTCACTTAAGCTGGAGGGTCTGTTGGTTTCTGGCATTCTTCTTTTCCAGAGCACAGCAGATAGCTAACACTTGTGCTGTCCGTTCGGGGACTGCACTGAAGTGGCCCTTTGGTGCCAGACCCCTAGCTGTCTCCTTTCCTCCCTTCTCCACAAGGTCAGAAGTTCCTGGTGAAGGAATGACTCATCTCTTCCCTTTATCACAGTGTCTAGAATATTCCTGGCACCTAGCGAGCACTCAATCAATAAGCACTGACTCAATCAATGACTTCATGAACTTGCTCAATATGTATCAGATATTTTTACTCCCAATGTTTTATTTACTTGAAGGCTCTCGATTTTTGCCTATACTGAGTAGTTACAAGACCCCTCCCCACCCTTTTTTTTATCCTGAGCAGATCTGTCATGATTAACCAATTTTTGTTTATAATATAAGGAAGTAAAAAACAAGATGCTTAAGCTGCCCCAGTCTAAATAGTTTTATTTGGACCAATATCAAGTACAAGTCGTTTGATATTGCTTACTCTCACATAACCTGACAAATACAGACCTGTCTTTAAAATATGCTTTCAAATGATGCCTGCTGAGTAAATTCAGTGGCTTAGAATCACCCTTTATTTAATACTTAGCACGGTAATAGGCACTCAGCATTCAGGGACGAGTAGGAATCACAAATCTCAGCATAAAGGAAACTATTTGGCTAGGAATACTTTTAATTATGAAGATCATATAATCGATAGTGATAAGTAGGCCAACATCCTGAACTTTGTCCAGCATTTACAACACGGGATGGACCCTAACCTGAGTCACCTGACAGGGGTGGGGTTGAACATAAGAAAACAAAAGAGAAGAGGTACCCACATCGATCTGTCTCCACTAAGTTTACTCACATGACACACAGACACAATGTGCAGCAATAAAAAGGACGGCAGGTGATTATTCATTTCAGAAAAGCAGCTCATGGGCCACTCAAAAATTATTTAAGGTTCAAGATTTTTTCCACACTCAGGAACCAGCTGGGAAATATTGCACGTCTGTTTCCAGATCACCACAATGAAGCATGTGTCAAATTAAAGTGAGCCACATAAGTTGTCTCGCTCCCCAGTGCATATAAAAGTTACTACGTTCGCACTATATGGTAACCTAATAAGTGTGTAATTGGTTTATGACTAAAAAAAAAATGTACAGACCTTAGTGGAAAATACTGTATTTCTAAAAAAAAAAAAAAAAATGCTAACCATCATATAAGCCTTTGGAAGGAGCCCCTACACCTGTCCCACACAGACAGGGTTGGACACAAACCTCCCATTTGCACAAAACACGGTATCTGCGAAATGCAGTAAAACGGGGTGTGCCTGTAATTCCCAATTGTAACCCCAACAAGCTCCACATACCAACAATAAATATGGCTCCATATTAGCTTTCTACTATGTGAAAGTACGGCTACCTTAAGAGTCCTACGTGTAGCTAATATTAACAAAATCATGGGTAAGCAACCTAAGTTAAGGTGAGATCGCACAGTAAGAGAGCTACATTTCCATCCTTATTTTCAAGGGGCGGTGGGCAAGGGATGGAGCCCTTAGATCTCTCTTTCTGGGGGGATTCTGAGGTCATGCGTGGCTGGTGTGTGTTTGTTTTCATGTAAGATAAAGCCAGAAAATATGATTGTCTTTGCGACTGTCTTTAATTACAAATCAGACACCACACATCCCTGGTGGCAGATTCCCCAGAGCGTGCTGGAGGCCCAGCATCCAGGGCCCAGGCCCTGAGCTACTGCTTCTGCACGTTAGGGGGAGGGTCCGAAGAACTCTATTATGAAGGAGCACACGTGTGTTCACGTGTGAAACTCCAGTTTAGCTCTGAAGCTGCACCATGAGCCCAACCCCGTAGCCTGGGAAAGCTCACTGTGACTGCCATGCACACTGAGCCAGTCTGCCCCGCTCCCTGGCAGGCCAAGACATCTCTGAAGACGCAGGGAGTGCTTATGGGCCTAAACGCCCCTGCATGTCTGTATCTTGGAAAAGACGAGTCAGACCGGGGGTCAGTGCTGGCCTCGGAGGGAGCTGCCCAGGGGGCCCAGCTGCAGAGAGATACCTAATGATGCTGGGTCCGGGTTCACGGGGCTCTGCTGCCGGGAGTGGCTGCTGCCGCCTCCCCCCTTTTTCAAGTCCTCGGCGTCGCTGTAGCGCCGGATCCAGTAATTGAGCTCCTCCCGGTCGGCCTCCTGGCACCGCCTGAGCACGGTGAGGGAGCGCCGTGTCTTCTCCACCATGTCCATGATGCAGTTCAGCAGCTGCGGGCAGCGGGGAGAGGGGAGAACGCACATGTCAGTCACTGCAACTCAGAGACCTGGGTGGGTGGGGAGACGTACTATGTTGGGGCAATGAAGGGTGCTGTTTGAACTCCTGAAGCCTTGTTTTAGTCTAATCTTTTCAAAAGGTTGGATTGGAAATAGGTCCCAATCGATGAGTCCAACTCAGGGGGAATGAGAGCAAAGAGTCGGGGGCATGACATGAATCACAACCAGAGGGCATACATCCCCCTTTCCAAGTGTGAATCCCAACCCTGCATCGGTCAAGGGCACCTTCCACAGTACAACTATTAGTCTGGTTTTAAGAACTCCCTTCCAGGCCTTGCCAGTCTGACTCAGTGGATAGAGTGTCAGTCTGCAACTAAAGGGTTCCAGATTCGATTCCGGTCAAGGGCACATGACTAGGGTTGCAGGCTGGATCCCCAGTGTGGGGCATGTAGGAGGCAGTCAATCAATGATTCTCTTTCATCATTGATGTTTCTATCTCTCTCTCCCTCTCCCATCCTCTCTAAGATCAATAAAAATGTATCATTAAAAAAAAAGAACTCCCTCCCATGATCTAAATATGTCCCTTATGTAATTGGCTTTGGTATCAATTTAGAAATCAAATTCTATATCACACTTCAAATATTCTCAAAATGTCTTCCAAGGTTAGCAGAAAACATAATGCCTTCAAAATAGCCCTCCCAACCTCCCCACCCCACACACACAGGTAACCACATTCTAGCTGCTTTCAAAATGTTTAAGCTGAACAATTACCAACATCTTACATGGTCAAGATGTTTCCACTCCTCTGCCCATTCTCTGTCAGTTAGCCTGTGGTCAATCATCTCTTCTTGACGTGTGCCATGCAACCCTACAAACACAGAGAAGATTACATCGTCTTGAAGCATTCAGGACATAAGTCTCACACACACACACTCTGTGAAACAATATTCAGCCTTTCAATGGGGACACTCAAATTCAGAATTACCTTAAAGGCAGATTCCTCACAGTGATAAAATGTTAGAACTAGAGCCCCAGCCAGTTTGACTCAGTGGATACAGCATCAATCAGCCTGCGGACCAATGGGTCCCAGGTTTGAGTCTGGTCAAGGACACGTACATTGGTTGCAGGCACCGTCCCGCCCGGAGCCCTGGTGGGGCACATGCAGGAGGCCACCAATTGATGTGTTTCCCTCACATCGATGTTCCTCTCTGTCTTTTCCTCTCTCTTCCACTCTCCCTAAAAGTCAATGGAAAAATATCCTCAGGCCGGTGGCGGGGGGTGGGGCGGTGTGCAGTTGGGGGTGACCTGGCTGACATGAAGAGACAATGTGACATCAATGTGAGGCAGAGGGGGGCAGTTAGGGGAGACCAGGGAGGCAGGCAGGTGAGCAATTAGGAGCCAGCAGTCCAGGATTGTGAGAGGTCCGGGGATCAGGCCTAAACCAGCAGTTGGACATCCCCAAAGAGGTTCCAGGTTAGAGAGGGTATGGGCTGGGCTGAGGAGGACTCCCCTCAATCCCCACTCCCCCCCGTGCAGGAATTTCATGCACCGGGCCTCTAGGAACCAATATAAAATTGTAAATCAACTCTATTTAAATTTATAAAGTTAAATGAATACCAAAACAACTTGTTAAAATATGAAGAAACTGACACAATTAAACTGGATAACACAATAAAACCTTTGATTTGCATTGCATAAAAAAATGCCCGTAAACTACAGTATAAAAACAGAATAGAGTGGAAGGCTCTGATAGGCCTAGAAAGGGGTTGCTCGTCCTACAAGGTTCTTATGCATAAAACACCTTAGGTTCCACTGTAAAGGGAGGGCACTGGGCTATGGCAACTTCTAGTTTCAACAACTGAAACTTTTCTTTTTGCTTTGAGGTCCTGTGTCAGAGTGCAGTCACCACAGAGCTATGAGACCCTGCATCACACGTCTGTGAAACCTGAGTGGCTCAGAAACCCCCTCTTCGATCTGATTGGGGAAAATCACGTGCCTGTTCTCAGCCAACCATAAAATAGGAGCAAATATCAACCGTGAACAATGAACAAACGTATGGCAACCTTTTCTCAGACTAACCACAAAGCTAAATATAAAACCCTCTGCATCATTCCTGCCCAAGGAGAGCATAACCTGAGATATATTTTAAAAGTTAAAATTGTCCATGCCACCTATTGGTAAAACTGTAGAACTGCAAATATGCTGGGGGAAAGTGGCATTTAGTTGTCGCTGCTTGTTGTGACTATCTTAAGTTGAAATGTTTGCAAATGTGTGATTTTTGTTGACTATTGGTTGCCAGTGTTTTAAAGGAACAGCATTGCAGCTGAAATGAACCATCACAGAAGAGAACGAGAGAGGGTGGAGGCACAAAAGTAGCACCGACTTTCACAACAGAGACCTTTAAGAACCAAGAACTCCAGAGATTTCGGAAGTTTCAAAATTCAGCTGACTACAGAAGTAAGTAACAATACAAGTTCTAACACGTGGAATGATAATAATAAAGTGAAACAGGGTATCTGTGGCTAACGAGATCTTAAGATTTGTGGAACAGTATTAAGCTTTATACCATTTTTTTTTTTTTTAAATGCAAGTGCATGTTTGAGCCCAAGTACTTGGTGAAAAAATTTAGGACTCATTTGCTGCTTTTGAACCCTGAAGGTCATTTGCTACCATCAAGTCTTTAAAAAGAAAACATAACACAACTCAAATTAAATAATGTAAAAACTTCCCATTATTTCATTTCTCTATTTCAGATGCTTAATTTATCATCAGCACACAATTTTTATTTATATTCATAATACTAGGGAGATGTCATCCACATTAAGGAGCACATGTTCATTTGTGGGAAGTTTGACATTAATGTTGAGTCTTAAGCGATTCTTACGCTTTAGGAGATTTTAGCTAACTAGGCTAAAACTCTAAGCTTATTTATAACTAGTGCTGCTGATAACGTTATTTTATCAAAGGATTCTAGGGAGTATATGTCCCTACATATAAGAGGCATTTATAAATCCTATCAGGCTAAGTATAACTTAATGACATTTTTTTTTTATCTTCACCTGAAGATATGTTTATTGATTTGAGAGCGGGAAAGGAAGAGAAAGAAAAAGAGAAGAAGGGAGAGAAGAATAAAGGGAGAGAGGAGAGAGAGGGTGGGGAGGTTGAAGGGAGGGTGACATCAATGTGAGAGAGAAACATTGACTGGTTGCCTCCCGGACACACCTTGACTGGGGACCAAACCCACAATCTAGGTTTGTGCCCTGACTGGGAATCCACACCACAACATTTTGGTGTATAGGACAATGAGCCAATCAACTGAGCCACCCAGCCAGGCTTTTGACAATTTTTATATTTTCAAAAGGGCAGCCTGATATTAACACCATAATTTCTCTCTCACACACCAAGATTTAATTTTATTTTAACACATACTAAACTCTGCCAGATTTTAAGGATGATTAAATAGCTGCGCATATTATAGATATTAGTACTATTAATCTTAGAAGCTAATATAATTTTAAAATAAGAATCATGGTCTGAAAGAATTACATAAAACCAATAGATGTAATTCATAAAGGGATTTTTAACATTACTGGAAGAAAACATAATCATTGCACATAAGTGTAATTACCTCCTTGATGGTAACTTAACAGTGCACTAGAACTAATATTTCATAAAACAGCATTTGCTAACTGAAGAAATGGGCCATTTGCTAGCACCTGCAAAGGGGGATCTCTTGAATTGCCCTTACAATGACCTGGTGACTCCACTTCTATTTGAAAATGAGCAATCAGGTGTCTGGGGCATTGAGTTAGAGACAAATGGCCAGGCTTTTGCATGGAGGGGGTTGTTATTTTATTTCAGGGTCAAAATAGTAACTCTGCCTGAGAAATAACATAACCACTTTTGAGAGTTCTTCAGAAATGGTACTGAGAGAACCTTAAATTGGCTATGAAGAAAGCACATATTGCCGAAACCGGTTTGGCTCAGTGGATAGAGCGTTGGCCTGCACACTGAAGGGTCCCAGGTTCGATTCCGGTCAAGGGCATGTACCTTGGTTGCGGGCTGCATCCCCAGTAGGGGGTGTGCAGGAGGCAGCTGATCGATGTTTCTAACTCTCTATCCCTCTCTCTTCCTCTCTGTAAAAAACTCAATAAAAATTAAAAAAAGAAAGCACACATTATATGCTTAGCCCTTCTTCTGACACATTAGGAGTGCAGAAGTGACTATTGCAGGGAAGCAGAACTATTACTCTGCTATCTCACAACCTGGGCCTTAATTGCCCCTCACCTTACCCTACTGCTTCTAAACATTTAGAGGGTTGTCTATGGAAAGACAAACAGAACTTATATATGGCAGTCCCCACTGGCTAGTAACCTAGTTATACATCCACTGTACACTGCTGCTCACCAGGCCACCTGTGCCTGGGGCTAACATCACTGTCCCGACTATTCAGGCAATGAGTCACCGGCTGCACTCCCCGGAGCTCTGCATCCTCAGGCCTACGCTCTGGTTTTCCACTTGGACTTTCTCCCTCCCTGCTTCCAGCATCCTTGCCCAACCAATCACCCACGTCAGGAAAATCAGTCAGCAACTAGCTATGAGGTCAAGAGAAGTCCTGTGAGTGGGTGGCCTAGACACAGAAGATGGAAAAAGAGAGGATTGACTACCGCCCTCCGTCAGTTTATAAATAGCTTGACTTGCCAACAATTAAGAATCACTGGAATCTAATGAACAAAATAAACTGATCCAGAGACAGAGAAGCATGGAACGGGCTGTCAAATCTCAGAGGGGAGGTGGAGATGGGTGGGTGAGAAGAATTCAGCCAAAGAACTTGTACACGTCTATGCATAATCCATGGACACAGACAATAGTGTGGGGAAGGCCTGGTGCAGGGGGCCAGTGCAGGCTAGCATGGCTAAAGGAGCCAAAAGGGGGATAAAGGTAATACTTTCAACAATGAAGATTTTTTTAAAAGAATAAGAAGAAGAATTTCTTTGGTTCTGCGGGGGCAGCACTCCAGGAACAGTGAGTGCTCTGATAATACTACCTGCACCTCAACCACTGATCATGCATCAAAACCCACCTTGTTCTTCTTCCCTCTCCTTTTTCATGCTACTCACTTGCTCTTTAGAAGGCAATGTCTCCTACAAGCTTTGTTTCCCATGGTCTTATTCAAAGAATGAATGGAGGTAAAAGGAACACATATTTATCCAAACTCATTCCATCTCTGGAATGATAAATCTTTGACACAAAATCTCAATACTAAATGTATTCACTGGCAGTTTCAAGTTAAAAAAAAAAAAAAAAAAAGGCACCAAATCATTCATTCCTCAAAGCACATTGGTTAAGTCAGAGACATACACCCAATCCCATAAGAAGCAAACAAATCGTTCCGTCTTACCCAAAGGTCTGTTTCTGTCCCTGAGGTCCCTGTGGCTGGGGTGTCGATAGGAGTCCCTGTAGTGGTGGGCAATGGCCATATCATCCAAACGGTAATGCTGAGGTGGAGGTGGGGTGGGGTGAGGCAGGCCGTTGGGCTGGTAGGATAAGCCGTTATTTGGACTGTACCGCTGGCCGGGGCTAATCGTGCATGGTCGCTTGCTTGGATGTTCTGAGTGCAAAGGCTCTCTGTCAAAGCCATTTTCTTTGGTTCTGCGGGGGCAGGGAGGTAGGAGAAAAAGATTTTGTCTCATGATATATTCAGAAACCAGCATCATTCAAACACTCGCAGTTGAGCTTGCAATATAAAGTATTGGCCAGAAACTTTGTAAACTCAGACCACTGACTGGTAATTCGTTGAAACCCATGATGAGGTTTACATGATCATCGAACTGCCCACAGGAGAAAATGGTTCAATTCTCAAACATCTCTTAGTAAATATATTTTTATTTGAGGCTCATATATGTGTAGGGTCATGAATAAAAGGAGATCCCAATCTCACTCCGTAGATAAAATTTCTATTCAAAAGAGAGTTCTGTATTTTCCGGTGTATAAGACGACCCCCTAATTTTACAGTTAAAACATAGGTTTATGCCTATATTCGCTATATGAGACTACCCCCCACTTCCAAGGCAACACCAGTTCTTTTTTTAATAGACCGCCTCTCTGACTCTGGCCAATCTGAGCAGGCTTTTTACTAGAACACAGTGTCGTCTTATACGCCGGAAAATATGGGGTGATTCCTAACATATTAGCCTAAGACATTGCATCTAGTGAAGGTTCAAGTTAGACATCATTCTCCTGATGAATTCTTCAGGTTAGACACCTACTGAAGAATTGCATCCAACCTGGTTAACTCTCATATCACAGAACACCTGACAGCTGTGTTGCCCAATGCAGTAGCCACATGTGTCTGCTGAAATTTAAATGTACATTAATGAACATCAAAGTTTACAATTCAGGTCTTCAGGAGCAGGGGCCATATTTCAGGTGCTCAGTCACCACCTGGGGCTATGGCTACAGATGGGGACTGCACGGACAGAGAACATTCCGGTCATCACAGACAGCTCTGTGGGAAACTGCTTACTAAATGAGCTAACACAATAATGCAATGCAATGTCTGGCACTCTCCTATTGCCTGGGGTCACCTGGGCATCAATTGGCGGTCACACGGAGCTAGCTGCGACTAAAGGGAATTTAGGCAAGCCCCCTTATTTTAAAGTCGGTCAGAGAGCATGTATGACCTTACTGGGGTCATCAGGCCTCAGAGCAGGACAGCACACCCTGACTACACTTGATTATGTGACACGCAATACTCTGCACTTGGCTTTCGGAAGGAATACACTGATAAAAATGAAACCTGATAACTAATTACTGCTCCTACATTTCTTCAAAAAGAGGTGGGGCCGGAGAACCATTTTCTGGTTGACTATACCTCTATTTGTAAGGACAAACTTCATATGCTCAGTAAGACAGGAACAAGCCACATCCCGCTGTGACGGGAATAACAGCTCCCACGCTAATTTCTGATGAAGGAGCTGGCCCTCACAGCCAGACCAGCACCCTATCTTTGGAACCGTCCTAAAGTCTATTTCCCCTGTAAAATGTCCCCATAAGAATTCCACCAAGTCACAGAAGCTACAGATTTCTGCACTCCTTTTGGATTTTTCGTTGGGAAGAACAGCATAGAGGCCTAAAGACATTCCTCCCTCCCCCTTTCCTGGCTTCCAGGATAGTCTTTGTCTGGCAGGACTAGAGGAACCAGAGTAGTACTGACATAACAAGACAATCATTAGGGCCAAGAGATTCTGAGCCATCCTTTACATCAAGTAGGGTGGGCCTGTCGTGACAATTTCCACACACGAGATGGAGAAGGATAAAGGACTTGGAGACAGAAGGTACAGCACACAAAGAATTGAAGAAAACTCAGAGGTCAGTATGCAATGATACATGCCCATTGCATCCTGGAGAAAGATGCACTGTCCTGGAGATGGCAGACTGGCCAATACTGGACATGACAGCAGGATGTGGTCCGTGTGTGTGTGTGGGAGGGGGGGGCAGATATCTCAATGACACTCCCATCAAAGTATGTGTCTGTCCTAAAGCATCATTAATATTAGACAAAAGATGTCCACTATAGCTCAGACATTATCTAAACATGTTTCTTTCACACAATTTTACAAAGTGAAAGGAAACATTTTAGATACCAATTCATCTTCTAAGCATGTATCTATGTGATTCTAATCTGGATTTCCATGTCCTAAACATTTCTGAAAAATATACTTCAATATCCAATGCACATGACCAGCATGAATCAGTTGAAAAAGTACTGCAGACTATTAGTAGCTATGAACATAATGCTAACACATCACCTACCTTACGGGCAGTGTGGTGTAATGGAAAGAGCTCTGGACTGGGAATCATGAGCTATGAGATCTAATCCTGGCTCTTCCACGACTAGCTGTGTGACCTTGGGCAAGCCACTAAACCTCTCTGGACCTCAGTTTGTTCATCTGTAAAATGAAAGGGTGGGACTAAGTCAGTGGTTTTCAAACTGTGCCACTGGAGGCACTCAAGGGATTCTGCAGGCAATGAAGAGCTTTTCCCACAAATAGTCAAGATTTAAAGGGCCAAAGGAACCCACTTCTTCTTATCTGTTTTTTAGAAATGAGGGTTCCACTTAAGGTTTCATTTCAGTTTATTTTTTTATCTTTATTGTTCAAATTATTTTTAAGGAAAAAGTCTGCCGCTAAAATCAAGTTTGAAAACCACTGGACTAGATGATTTCTGAGGTCCCTTCTAGTTTGACACCTCTTTAATTCCATTTTCCTATATTTACCTTTGAATGTCATGGTGCTGGCTCCAGATGGCTCTAGTGGACAGAGCCTCAGCCTATGGACTGAAGGGTCTGGGATTGGATTCCAATCAAGGGCACAAGCCCAGGTTGAGGGCTCAATCCCCAGTAGGGGGCGTGCGGGAGGCAGCGATAAATGATTTTCTCATTGGTGTTTCCATTTCTCTCTCCCTCTCCCTTCCTCTCTGAAATCAATCAATCAAACAATCAATCAATCAATAAAATAAGTGGCATGGTTCTGCAGATCCAAAGACATAGGGCTGATATTCCTCTGGCCAAAGGGTGCCTGTGTCAACCACTTTAGCCAACAGAGTAGTTCTCCGCTCTTTGCTTTGAACAGTGTATTATTTATAGTTAATTCTTTGTGCTGAAATAGGAAATATCCTCCTAATACCTTACAGCAGTCACTGTTGCACTTCTAAATACACAAACTTTTTTGGCCACTTGTGTCAAACCACTTCAACTTACGGATTTTGTCTGCTCTTGTTCAACTATAACAACATCCAATAGTAAAAGAATGCTTAGAGTTTTTAGAATGTTGTTTACCTTTCCCTATCATTTCTATCAGGACTCCGCTGTCCAACCCTGGGCCCTATTACTCCGCTGGCTATGGAAACAACAGAGCTCATCACCTCACAGAATTAGTTAGATGCCAATAGCACAACATGAAAATACTCAAAACCAAGTCTGTGAAAGGTCTGGCTGGTCTTTCCTTGAATCACTTACATCTAACTAGTAAAAGGTCGAGTCTATTTAAAGGATGCATGTCCAGAAACGTAACTCAAACAGGTAATTAAAGCAACCTAACTGTTATTTGTCTATCTCCTTCTTAGAATGCCTACAACTAACTTCACCTCATTTGTCTGAGCAGATTCCGAATTTGTTTATTTGTTGCCCTTTCAAACTGTAGTAGGCAAAACTAAGTGAATTTAGATAAAAATTTTACATAATACCTTACTTTTTAAAATATATACTTTTATTGATTTCAGAGAGGAACGAAGAGAGAATCATAGATCGGCTGCCTCCTGTATGCCCCCTTACTGGGGATCCAGCCCACAACCCGCCATGTGCCCTTGACTGGAATTGAACCTGCAACCCTTCCATCTGCAGGACAATGCCCTATCTAGCTAGAGTCATAGTACCTTTCTATTATTATTAAAAATGTATCTAAAACAAAATATATTACAAATTCCCTGCCTCCTTAAAAAAAAGTATCAAACCTAACTTTTCATGGCAACCCATGGTGGTTTCTGGGTTTCGCTACCATCTTAGAGGAAGGAGGATATTCCGATGAGAGGTAACAGGAACCTGCATGCCATGTGACCATTACTACCGGGCCATCTGGCAGGGGGAGCCTCAGTCTCTTCATGGCCAGACAGCCATGGAGGTACCTGCCAGGCAGCATGCAAATGCCTCCAGGAGTGAATGAAAGCAGGTGGGTGAGGACCACTTCAGACATATAAGCATGACGCCGGGACCTTCCAGGAGGACAATACAGCAGGTTCAGATCCTTCTGAGCCTCCTTCTCTCCCCCAACAAGAAGGTGACATGTGTCTCCCAGAGTTTGCCATCTGCTCAGCGGATAGACTCCTGTTCCTGGCTGTCCCCTGCTTTCCCAATTCCTGGCCACCGCTGTCATCTTCAATTTATACTGCTCCTACTGTCCGGGCTGTGCTCTCTTACTCTGTTCTGTCACCGTCACATTTGGAGTGAAGTGCTCCCTTCAGTTTTTTTGGGGCAGTGAACCAATCACAGCATTTTGTTCCTGGGCTGTTGATGGCTATTTGCATTGTTGTGTGTCTCAGAGATGCAGCCTTTAAAATGGTAGAAAACAAGCAAGACCCTAGCCAGCTTGGCTTAGTGGATAGAGTATCAGCCTGCGGACTGAAGGGTCCCAAGTTTGATTCCGGTCCGGGGCATGTACATTGGTTGTGGGCACATCCCCAGTGGGGGGTGTGCAGAAGGCAGTTGATCGATGTTTCTCTCTCATCGACGTTTCTAATTTTCTATCCCTCTCCCTTCCTCTCTATTAAAAAAAATTTAATAAAAATAAAAAGAAAGCAAGAAAGACTCTTAAGGGAGAGACAATTTAGTATCATACTGAAAGTGACTACATTAAGTTTAATATATATATATATATATGAAAGAAAAGAAAGTAGAATAAATGCCACTGCTCCATACAGGGAAATATTGACTTTGTAGGCTTCCCCAGAGTCTTCATTTCTCTGTAAATAATAATAATGCTTAAAAAAAAGAGATATAACCAGTGACAGTCATAGTTGAGGAGCGAAAAAAGTTAAATTTGCCAAAAAGCCATCCCTACCACATGTGACAACTGTTCAGCAGATTAAGCCTGCAATTATCACAAAACGTAAGCCCCCAAAGTTGTAAACAAAACGCAGAGTGCTCTTTTGTTCGTGGCATGTCACGGACACATTGCCAGGATGTGCTTTCTCCTCAGGTGTCAGTCTTTCCCTCTCCCGGTGACGGATGGCTCCCTGTGTTATTACAGAAACAGATTGATCTTTTTAATGAGCCAGTTTAATAGACTCCAGCATCTCGGCGTGGCTGCTCATCCATGTCAGACCATATGCAGCCGCACAACATTCAGGGAAACAAAAAAGCCTCCGCTGTCAGACGGCTCTAGCCTCTCCTGCGGGCCTGGAGGCGCAGACACACAACGGGAGGAGAGGAACATGCATGTGCAGACAAGATGCAGGGAACACAGGCAGAGACAGGCGAGGGGGGGCCCCTATTTTCTTGGCTCTGATCGGATCCCCACAAGAGGCAAGTGTATTTACACAACATGCTCTCATCCCCCTCCCTCCTAACGCTAAGGGAATCCACTCGCCACCTTTCCGTAGCAACACAGCTTTTGGGCTTTCACAGGAACAAGAAAGCTCCATCCCAAGAGCAAGCTTGTTCCTTCCCGCTTTAGCCGCTCATTTTATGGGTGAGTCACCCCAGGGAGAATGACCCTGAAGGTTCTGCGAGAGTCAGTCCTACCGCAGTGACGGCAAGCATGCATGCACACACATGGCTATAGCACACTAACATGACGTTTGCATGTGATGTGAGCACGTCCTTCGGGGCTGACCTCAGCACCTCCTTAGGGTCGGCTAAAGGCACAGGACGTTCCCATGGAAATCGTGGAAAAGAACCCGTGGGGCAATGGGTGGGAATGTAGAGAAATGAAGGAAAAGGTGTTCGGGCTGCCTGTTATGGCTCCTTAGCACAGTGGTCCTCAACCTTCCTAATGCCGCGGCCCTTTAATGCAGCTCCTCAGGTGGTGGTGACTCCCAACCATAACATTATTTCTGTTGCTACGTCATCACTGTCATTTTGCTGCTGTTGTGAATCGTACTGTAAATATCTGTGTTTTCCCAGGGTCTTAGGCAACCCTGCTAGCGGCTCTTAACCTGTGGGAACTGCTGCTGTAGAGCCTGAGACCATCGGAAAACACAGATATTTACATATGATTCATAATAGCAGCAAAATGACAGTGATGAAGTAGCAACGAAAATAATTTTATGGTCGGGGGCCACCACCACATGAGGAACTGCATAAAAGGGTCACGGCATTAGGAAGGTTGAGAACCACTGCTAGCAGCTAAGCTTTCTAGAGTACATGGTGTCCGTTTCCAATTTTGCCTAGAGGATGAGTTTGACATGTCTCACAGCTATCCAAACCTTTCCCTGGTACCCTCTCCTGCACTCAAGCAAATGTTTTTTCTCCCTAGTTTTCCACCCGGTCTCCCCCCCGATTCTTTTCCTACAGTGTTCTGGAAGAGATGGAGGTGCACCTGCTTTTTCCTCAGCTCAATCCTGCACCCAGTGCTGCCTTCCTGCAGGGTGAGCGGGATCAGACAGAATACACAGGGGAAGCGCCCATCCTTCTTGGTTTTCAGGTTGTGCCATGCAGTCACCTGGGTTAAGTAGTTCCCTTTAAAAGCTAAAGGACTAAATGCTTACGTGTGGCCGAGGAAAGATGACTTGCAAAAATAAAAATAAAAAGGAGCACTATTGGTAGGTCACATGAGAAGGTGTGTCTAAGTATGTCAGAAGTAAACCAGCGTTTAACCTTTGCTTCAGGAATTTACACTATGAAGAGGGAGGGCCTATGTCAAAAGGAGAGAAATTCCAGAGATTATAGCATAAAAATGATAGTAACTGTATGTAACCTGGTTTGCTTCTAATAACATTCTGTGTGCCCTAGCCAGTTTGGCTGAGTGGATAGAGCATTGGCCCGGGAACTGAAGGGTCTCGGGTTCTATTCCGGTCACGGGCACATGCCTCATTAGCAGGCTCCTCCCCAGCCCGGGCCCTAATCAGGCACGTGCAGGAGGCAACCAATCGATGTGTTTCTCTCACATTGGTATTCCTCTGTCTTTCCCCCTCTCTTCCACTCTCTCTAAAAATTCAATGGAAAAATATCCTCAGATGAGGATTAGAGAAAAAAAAAAAAAAGAATTATATTTTTAAGTGACAATTTTTAATACTGTGTGTCTAAGAACCGTTAGTGGCCGTTAGCATATTTAAATATGATTCATCTTTACCTTTTACTTTATTTAATTGTAAAGAATTTTTTATTTATTTCCTTTTAAGAAAGGGAAGAAAGGAGAGAGGAAGACAGAAGGGGGTATTGGGAAGAGAGAGAGAGAGAGAGAGAGGTTTGTCGTTCCACTTATGAATGCATCCATTGGTTGATTCTTGCATGAGGCCTGACTGGGGATCAAACCACAACCTTGGCGTATCGGGACGATGTTCTCACCACGTGAGGGAGCTGCCTGGCCAGGGCCTTCACCTTGAACTTTGTTACAAGCAGCAGAGATGAGCCGTCACAAAAGCCTGGCTCAGGCCGGAGAGTCATCCCTCTGCAACCTGCCAGGCCAGAGCGAGGCCCCCGAGAGGGACCTTCAACTTGTGGCTAGTTGGCAGCAGGTGCAGGCGAGTGGCCTAGACATCCCGCCCCGCAGATCTGTGTCCCACGGGCACCGGGCCACGGCCAAGGCCACGGCCAGCCCGCCACGCCGCCCCTCACCTGTCTGGCGTCCGCCTCTTCCCGTTCTCGTTCACGTCAAGGAGCAGCTCGGAGGAGTCCACGGGGGAGGTGGTGCTGGCGTCCAGGAGCAGCTGTTCGTGCTGGGCGAGGTACTGGGCCGGGTTCTGCTTGGCCAGCCTGGCGCAGTGCAGGAGCTCACGCTGCAGCAGCGGCAGGTTCGCCTGCAGGGGGCAGGGGGGGGCGGGGGGGGGGAGGGAGGGATGAAGGCAGCGGGTTTGATTCCCAGGATCTCAGTGCTGGGCCACAGTGTCAGCGGCTCCCTCACCTGGACAGCCCCGAGCATGAGGTGCCTGACCTGGGGGAGCCACCTCACCTCTCCGGCTCCCAGGACCACGGGGAGCACTGGGATTGGCACCTATTTGATCAGATCTGTATCTACTATACTGCGAAGCTCCCCAGGGTTTAAAGTTCTGGCTCCATCCATCAGCAATTTTTGTTGATGCTTCATGAAATACATACACACTTCATTTGTGTGTCTAGTAACTTGTCCGGGCAAAACAGGCTCATCCTATGAAACATCTCTGGTCGGCTAGGAGCTTCAAATAATAATAATTAGCCCTATCTGGTTTGGCTCAGTGGATAGAGCATCGGCCTGCAGACTGAAAGGTTCCAGGTTTGATTCCAGTCAAGGGCATGTACCTTGGTTGCTGACACATCCCCTGTAGGGGGTGTGCAAGAGGCAGCTGATCGATGTTTCTCTCTCATCGATGTTTCTAACTCTCTATCCCTCTACCTTCCTCTCTGTAAAAAAAAAAAAAAAATCAATAAAATATATTTAAATAATAATTTTTTAAAAAAATAGAGATGAATATAGAAATTATATTTAGTGATCGTCAGGTTCGTACATTTAAGTAATGCCCTGAGTGTGGTCAGATATTCCGGATGGAATTCATGCACAAAGCAGCATAGATGAGTGGTTAATAGGAGAAATCTCGTGTGCCCATGAGGTTCCCTCCTCACCAAGCCCAGCACTTGGGAAAAGACTCCCGGGACGTGTTTGTGGACACAGAATCCTGGCGATCTCCAATGTAACGAAAGGGAAGGAGACCATTCCACACAGTAAACCGTTCAGATGGAAACAGAATTTTACTCTAAGAAGTAAACTTGCTCTGACATTATAAATTCAGGTTGCTGTTGTGGTTGTTTTTTTTTTTTTTGGGGGGGGGGGGTTGGTGGTTTTTTTTCTTCTCTCACTCTTTTATTTTTATTCTCCTTGGAGGGTGGCAGGGGGAACAGAGTGAATAGGCGGCAGAGTGAAGAACAACACTTACCTCTCCAAGTTCAAGGGAAGACCCATAACCTCAGCCTCTTTGCCACCCAGGATCTTATTGGTAGGAATACGATGCCATGCATATTAATTAACCCGATGCCATGCATATTAATTAACCCATCGGGTTGAAAAGCATTTCTGAACACTGGAGGGGCCAGCTGCCTTCCTGCTTGGGCCCTGGAGGCTAGACTAGCAGGGACAGGCACAAGGGCTGAACTTGAAACTCAGTCCATTCCCTAGGGTATTAACCAAGGATCCATCTCATAAGAATGCCCAAGCGTGTTTTTGAGCAAAGTATTAAAATACTCGGATATTTGCTAAAGATAAGCACATACCACGTGCTATAGCAAGATGCTAAAAATAAACCATTTGCAGTTAGTCTAGGGTCATGTGGGTAACAAATACGTTTTCAAATATTTTTTAAGCTCCATTTCCTCCTTAGCGAAGGCAGATCTCAGACACTGGGTGCCATCCACAGGTAATAAAATAGCAATGCCACCTGAACGTTTACTTTTTAAGAATCACTCTGAAGTCTATGGATAAGATTGAAAAATTGTCCCAAACAATATACTGCAAACCTCTCTAGTCCTGGTTGTTTCAAAGGATTCCAAAGATTTTTTTTTTTATATAATGATTTAATAAAGGAGGAGACAAAACACACACAAAAACAAACAAACAAAAAAACACCACAAACACACACACACACACACACACACACACACACACACACAGTATCTCCAGTACTCCATTAACAAAGTGTGAGATTCAGAATGATGGGGCGGGGGAGTGGGGGGAGACCGAGGGGGGAGGGAGCACCAGTGTCTCATGACCTTCTTCATCTTATCTTCAGCATTCTTATCCAGAGAAGGCACCTGGGATATATCATAACCCCCACCGCCCATGTACACCACAAACAAGACCGTGACTGTATGAGCTAGAATGGGCTGGGACCACAGCGCCAGGCTCTGTCAGATTCCTTCTGTCAGGCATGCCAGTACTATGGAAGCAAGCAGGCCAACAGAGTCCCGCCAGCTCCGCTAGCTCCGAGAGACAAATTCCTGAATGATAATCAGGAGGGCTGACTCCCCGGCTGGACATCTTGTGTGCAGATGTGTTTTGGCAAAGCATTCCCGGGCTCCGGTCCAGAAACAGCCTTAAGATATTCAGGACAAAAGTTGATTTGAAGACACACACAAAACAGCAATCCCGAAGACAAGTTATAAAATGCACCTTTCTTTGGCTACGTGTTAGAGATAATGACTTTTTAGTTGCAGACTCAAATACGTTTTTGCAAAGGAGACGGTTAAAGGGTGGATATGGTTAAAACATACGTATACTTCTTCACGGGTGTCTATAAGGGGAGAGGCTTAGAAGAAGCGAAGCTGTAGCTAGAACTGTTTTCACTAAGGGGAAAAAAAAAAAAGGTTTTCTTTCATCTATATTTTGGTGGGATCCCTAACTTCATGTTTAATACAATCCCTGTCACACAATGGGGTGATTAATAGTAAACACGCATGCCTCCAGTTTCAGATTCAAATGTATGGATGGCACGAGACAAGAGGCTTTCACGTGGCGCTCGGCTTAATTTAGTGGTTCCATAAACATCTTCTTCCAATTTAAAAAATATGGTAATACAAAGCAATTCTGCTTGCTCTAATTCTGGTGCCAGATTAGGTAATTAGAATGGTGTCTAATATCTTTCCAGTAAATGTTTCTCCATAAATGCAAAATGGAATCGAGGGTCTGAGGGTTACATTAGCTTAATGAAAACAAGACTTTAATGCATATTGTTAGAGCAATGTTTGAATGCACTTATTAAGGCCCGAGTTCCCACAACCATATGGTTTTTGTCATTAATGTCTCCTTTGAGAAAAAGCACTAAAATTAGAAGAAAAAAAAAAGTTTTATCTTTGATTCCAGTGATCCCAACTAAATGATATGGTAACCATATGGTATGCCGCAGTGAGAGAAGAACATGGAAGTGGCCTTGTATGCTTTAAAAAAAATTATTATTTTTTGGCTGCCAACTTGACCCTGGAAGGAGCCCTTCCCCCTACCCCCATTTTCTTTCCTTAGTTTCTTGCAAGCAAAGACACGAGTGGTATTTTCACAGGAAATGGAACTCCTATGATGAAATCTTTACAGAAAGCAACTCTCTTAGAAAATCAAAGGTTCTAGACTCAATGGACACATTCAAAAGACAATGTGCTTTTGAGAATACATGATTATGGTCAGAGCCATTTTGTACGGAAATACTGACACAACAAACCTGTCACCTTACGTACAGAATATAGAAAAGAAGGAAAATAACATGATGGAAATCTGGGTTTCCATTTAAAAAGATACAATTGAATGATTTGTCGATATTCTCAGAACAGGACTATCTCATTTCACTTCAAATAGAATAATAGCAGGAGAGACTTGTCATCCATAAAGTTCTGAATGTGGGCTCAGTCTGACAGCTTTTCTGGGTTTTGTGGTAGTTACTTGAACCTTATGTGTCTGATTGGGGGGAAAAAAAATGAAACTTCACAGCAAAGGGGAAGGCAAAGCAGGATCCTTGGATCTCGTTTTGAAAATGACTTTTAAAGGTGAAGACAGCAAATGAGTCTTTTTCATTTAAAGCAAAGCCCACGGTGAGGATAAAAATGGGTTTGTTCCTCCACGTGGTATTCACTGATAACCCACCATGCCTGAGCGGTGGACATAATTTGCTTTTCTATCAAAAATTTGTTTTTTTCTAACAAAACTGTCAATTCTTTTATATATATATTTTAATTAATTATTATTATTATTTTTTACAGAGAGGAAGGGAGAAGGAGAGAGAGCTAGAAACATTGAGAGAGAGACATCAATCAGCTGCCTCTTGCACACCCCCCACTGGGGATGTGCCCGCAACCAAGGTACATGCCCTTGACCGGAATCAAACCTGGGACCCTTCAGTCTGCAGGCTGAAGCTCTATCCACTGAGCCAAACCGGTTATGGCTTTTAGTACCAATCAGTGAAGGAACGACCTGCTGTCCCGAATAAAAATGTCCCTTCCTTCTCTTGTGAACTCTCTTTTTGTTTTTCAGGTGCTTTATCGGAGAGGCAGTAGTTGGAGAAGGTGAGGATCATGGAACCGAGGATTAAGTACGGTTTCTAAACCACACCTCAAACCATTTCAGACAGACAGACCTTGCACCTCACTATCTCCCAGTTTCTCCAATGGCAAAGGGGGGGTGAGCGTCTGCTCTTCCTATTGTATTAGGTTGTTGCGAAAATAAACTAGACGGATTTTAAAAACTCTGAAAAACTAAAAAGAAAGAACCAATCTCATGTTCATTCTAAAGACAAGCAAAACGTAAAATATAACCCAAAGGACCAAAAAACAAACAAACAAACAAACAAAACCTTTATTCAAGAAGATTTCTCCATTCTTCTCCCAACTTAACTGTTCAACACACTCTGGATAATCATTTTAAGGCTGCTTCAGAAATGATCAGAAAACCATATATATTCAGGTAAAAACACCCGTAAGCTTCTGACCCCCCTCCAATCCTAAAATGAAACACTGTTATGACTTAACAACAATATGCTTTGAAATACTCTGCAGACAAGTGAGCCGTCCAGTACCTTCAAAAACGGGATGACGAAAGGTCGCAGTGGGAAGTTAGTAGCTTCTTGCAGTTTGGAATGAAATTCTTCAATTGTCAAAGTAGAGTTCTGTAGAAGAAAACATGTATTATAAACACATTTGTCTCTGGGTAGATAGTAAAAAACAACCAGATTACTACATCGCTACTACGGTGAAAACATTGTAATAAACCAGCAGACACATATACAGGAAGCAGTATTTTCCATATAATACCTTTGATATTGTAAAAAAAAAAAAAAAAATACTGCGTATTATAATTCATTGTAGCATCCACCTTTTAAAATAACATCTGAAAATGGAAGACCATAAATATGGAACAAGGAGAATAATGTGCATACTTTGGTCAGAACCTTTTAATATCACCCTTTATGGGAAACTCTTCGTTTAAAAGCACAACGGATCGCATAGTGGACCAAACAAGTGTCAGAATCTCAATTCACCCCGCAGGTCAGGTCTGTGTTAACGCGGGTGGAAATACTCTTCTCCCGTCCTTCCATCTTGCATTCATCCTATGTCTATCAAAGCATCTTTGCTCAGAATGAACAGCTAAGTTGGGTGGTGTGCTGCACTATTGAAGCCAAAGAAAAAATTTGGGCCTTCTCTGATTCATTGAGTTTTAGAGAGGGTGGAAAAATTCCCCAGTTATCAAAGGTATTTCCTTTAGCGTAGAGGCAATGTTGATTGCTCCACCCAAAGGAGACTACAAAAGGACTCTATTTGCTCTAACCTATGCCATATAAACAAGCCCCAAATGCTCAGGGTTTGTGTCCTGCAATGGGTGATTATACAGACAGCAGCCTATTGTAAAGGTGTTGAGCAAATTAACTGTATTTGGTTCCTTTTCCTTAGTCCCTAGACAGAATTGCAACTGTAAACTCTAGTCTGAACTTCAAGCCTTCCATTATCCTCACGCCTGAAAAACCGGGGTATTTGTGACTAACAGCTTTAGAATAGTGTTCCCCACTTTTTAGTGCAGTTCCTTTTCCTGTTATGATGAAGTGTGGGATACCAAGTCCTAAGCTTTTTATATCCCCAAATTCAAAACATATTAACATGAAACTATGAATAAACACTAGCTTTCTACCTGTAATAATAGAGGGTAAGGAGCCCTCTTTTTTTTTTAATCTTTTATTTTGCCTCTTTATTTTCAGTTAGTAAATTTCTTTTAAATTTTAGTGAGTTAAATATACTGGGGGGACATTAGTTAATAAGATCATATAGGTTCAAGTGTACATTTTCAAGATGCAAGATCTATACACTGCATTGTGTGCCCAATAGACAAAGTCAAACATCTTCCATCACTATATATATCTGGGCCTCTTTACCTTTTACTAAACCTCTCCCCCCATTTTTTTCTATGGCTCATTTTCCCAAAAGCCATTTTGGTTATGTTTTACACATTTTCTTAACTGTCTAAATAAACAGCATAATGAGCTTCATTATGATTTACTACCCAAGTGCAAATCGTAGGCCTATCACAATGTATATTTTACTTCTGCAAACCTCAGTTTCCTCCCAGATAAAATGTGTATAAAAAGCACTACCTCAAAGGATGGCCCCAAGATTTAAATGAAACGGCTTGTAGTCAGTGCCCCAAAGAAAACCCATTATCTAGTCATTCACTCATTTGACAAATGTTCTCTGACTGCTCTTATGTACAAAGCACTATTTATTAATGTTTTCCCCTAACTTATCTCCATATGGATTTCAGATAAATAAGATATATCTTCAAAGTATGCCCCTTAAGATGTGGAAGAAAAATCTACTTAAGGCTACCAAGTTTTTTATATGTTTAAAGTTATGGAAACCACTGTTAAAGATATATCAAATTTATATAGCAGTTGCCAAAAAACAATGTTTAATTGCTTTCTTAATACAGTTACTGTTGTGAACTTGCTTTGTGGTCCCTCAGTCTAACTAACTTAGGTGTTGAAAAGCCTATTATGCAAAACGTGAGAATGGATGAGAAGGAAAAGATAAGCGAGTGACAGAAGCAACTGCAGGATGCTGACATTCTCCTGTCACATTCACCTTCCTGTCCTGAGGGGGACAAGGTGAAGCTGATGGATTGTGGGGGACGGGGAGCTTTTGTTCTTCGAGTGCAGGGGAGAGGAGACGACATTGAAAAGTTCCACACACTTAAAAAAAAAAAGTTGAATTGCAACATGTCTGGCAGCGTTAGGGGCCGTGATCTGAAGCATGTCTACTGCCTTAGACTCTCAGCCAGACTTCTCATTGGGGAACTTCTCTGACAGAACACAACTGGTATGGCTTTGCCCTTGGTAAGTCCACGCAATAAAAACAAATGATGTATTTCATGAAAAAGAAAACTGCTGCCCATTATCTGAATCTCAGTTCCAGATTAGCCCGGATTCAGAACTTCTCCGTTCACTATGGGAAAACCACCTTCCGCAATGCAAACCCTCCATGTGTACATGAAATCATGGAAATGCGAAGGTGAGTTAGGGCTCTAAAAGAGAATGTATGTTCTAGTGGCTAGAGTGAACATGTATACAATACACTATAATGTGCCCAAATCAACACTTCTACTCTCAAACTATTCATTTAAGTAATTTTACCTATACAAAAAAAAGATGTTTTTAATCAAAAACCAATTCGTGGTTGCAGGAGTTGAGGGGAGATAAAACTGGGGTGTTTTTGTTTTACGCGGACACGGGCTCAGTCTGGGGTGATGAAAAAGTTCTGGAGATGAATGGTGCTGATGAGTATACAACAGTGAATGCCCTTACTGCCGCTGAACTGTATGTACAGTTAGAAATCCTGAGAATAGTAAATTGTATGTTTTATATATCTTACCACAATGAACAATTCTTAATGTGATTAGCCCTAAAACACATACGAGGAGAATGTTACTTGTTATAAATTCTAGTTGATCATCTAGGCCCACGGTCGGCAAACTGTGGTTCTTTGGCCCCGTGAGTGTGGCTCTTCCACAAAATACCACGGCCTGGGCGAGTCTATTTTGAAGAAGTGGCGTTAGAAGAAGTTTAAGTTTAAAAAATGTGGCTCTCCAAAGAAATTTCAATGGCTGTACTGTTGATATTTGGCTCTGTTGACTAATGAGTTTGCCGACCACTGGTCTAGGCTAATAAAAGTCCCACAAAGCAACTAAGTTAAAAAATAAAAAGCACTGACTTACATTAAGTGAATCTTTCACATACCCAAAACACTTTGTCATTGTTGAAAGAAACTTAGCCATGCCAAGAGGATGTACATATGGAACTTTAGACACACTACACATTTATGGCCAGGATAGCAATACATATGCATATAGTCATATCTTCATTAGTCGAATAGTAATAGAAACCATGGTGGGGGCAGAGGTCAACCCACAATGCAGAATTTAGAACCTTGTTCTAGAATGATCAGACTTGGACCCGACGTCTAGCAGTAAAAACCACTAGATTAAAATACCCCATAAGCAAGGAAATGGTATTTTTAAATCCCCCCACACACGTTCCCTCACCCCAGAGAGCGGGGCCGATTTCCGTTTGCTTACCACCAGTCCTAGGACGAGGGTGCGGACTCTCTCTCCTATCTCTGGCGAAATGTCATTGCCAAACTGCTGCAGGGTGGTAAGGAAGCGCTTCAGTTTACTGAGCTGCCTGGCGCCACAGGCTGGGGGCAGCTGCTGGTTGGCCAGAGATGAGGAGGAGGAGGAGGAAGGCCCATTGCTAAAGCCATTGGGCGGCGAGGGCGCACCGTTCAAGGCTGTGGGTGAATGGCTGGTGCCATTGGTGACTGTCAAGAGCACAAAATCAGAGAGAAAAGGTAAACGTAGAGACAAAAGCACAAGAAAACGACAACCAAGTTTCCTCCCCTGTAGGTCTAGTGAATTTTCTTAAAAGCTGCTGGGTACGATATTACATTCATTTCAGGTGTAGAACCCAGAGACCAGACATTATATAACTTACCAAATGATCACCCCAATAAATCTAATGCCCGTCTGACACCATACATAGTTATTACAATATTATTGACTGCATCCCCTATGTTGTAATTGAAATTTTTTTTTAAGAAATTATTTAAAGTTAAAAATAAATACAGCTCTGCTGGTGTGGCTCAGTGGTTGAGTGTTGAACTATGAACCAGGAGGTCACAGTTCAATTCCCAGTCAGGGCTCATGCCAGGTTATGAGCTCCATCCCCAGTAGGGGGCGTGCAAGAAGCAGCTGATCAATGATTCTCTCTCATCATTGATGTTTCTCTTCCTTCCTCTGTGAAACCAATAAAAACATTACAACCAAAATAAACAAACGAAAAAACTACTGGAGCTCTTTTTGTAAAACTCTTTGACTTCACAGGCTCACGCCAGCTCAGGTATTCTATAATTAAATAGATCCACTCCTCACACTGCACAGAAGCTGATTATAAATGGAGTCGGCTGTAGCACAGAGACAGCCCTGCCGCCCCTGTGCACATATGCCATCCACCTGAAATGTCTCAAACCCAGAACAAACAGCTCTTGGATGTCAGCCTTGGTCACCAGCTTACATCAGTGTAACAGGACTATTTCTTTCTCAGCTGTCCCCCTCCTGGAGAAAGTGTACATTTGGTGGAGACTAAATTTACCGCTGGACATTTTTAATCATGTTTTATACACACAAGCTGACAGCTATGTTTATAAAAATGGGACTTTCAAGCTTTAACCTTACACCACCCAATTAGAAGGCTCTTTTCTTCCCCCTCGTCATTCTTAACCCCTTCTTTAGGGAAAAGCCAAACTGGATAGGATAATTATCAGGGAGTTATTTCAAAAAATTCAAAAGGTACAACCCATTAACAGTAGTTGGTGGTAATCCGATACATTCATTTCTGATCATATTTACTTGAACATCAAGATGCTAACTGATGATGAGTTGGAGGCTACAAAGATTTGTACATTTCTCCCTAAGGAAAATGTCAATTTTACGTTAAATCAATTAATTTGACAAACTGATTTTTTGCCAAACACGTTTTTAAATATAGTTTTGATAAACTATCCCCAACAATAGTTTGAAGATGTTTTAGGTACTCTATTATATTCTTAAAGGTTCAGGATAGTAAGAAAAGGAAAAGATGGTCGTTTGTCCTACATGAGCACCAAAGCAACCTGTCAAGAAATGACAGCTCACCAATTTCTCAAGGGAGACACAGGCCTATCACTGTGGTTTGGAGAACAACAAAACAAATACAAGACGACAGGTCCCAACGTGGCAAGGCCGTGGCCTCCTGCTCCTTACACATTGGCAAAGGCCTTCTCAATGGCAATGCAACTCTGCATACACCGTCGAGGATGTGTATTTTGTCCATCGTTTTCATCCCATGAATCTATTCTTACCTGTTATTTTTTATGCAAATAGATTTAATGGCACATTAAATACTATTATCTACAACAACTTCTTTTCTTTTCTTTTTTTCACAAATCCTTGATGACAACTTTAACCAAGACTTTGAGACAGATGAAAAGAAAGCTACCTGCTATCCCTATTACAATATACAGGAAAGCAAGGATAGTTGAGATTCTGTCAGACTATTCTGTCCTTTCCTTGCCTGGCATAGAAAGCAATGCACTCCACTGATTCAGAACAGGAGACCTAAGCCAAGATGGAATGAAGTCTGGCAGTTTCATGTCCTAGCTGGTTTGGCTCAGTGGACAGAGCGTCAGCCTGCAGACTGAAGGGTCCCAAGTTCGATTCCAGTGAAGGGCATATGCTGGGTTGCAGGCTGGATCCCCAATGTGGGGTGTGCAGGAAGCAGCCGATCAATGATTCTCTGTCATTATTCATGTTTCTCTCTCTGTCCCTTTTCCTTCCTCTCTAAAATCAATAAAAATGTATTAAAAAAAAAAAAGAAAAGTCTGACAGTTTCACAAGAAAGATGCTCCTTCACATATGTAACACCTTAATCAATAAAGAATTTATTTTAAAAAATAATAAAAAATAAAAGAAAATAATAAAAAAAAGAAAGATGCTTCTTACTTCAGAAAGATTTATGTATACTTCTGTTGCATAAAGTCATTTTGTGTGTGTGTCTAAACATTAAGTTTTAAACAGAGAACCTAAAAAGGTAAGATTTCAAAATTATTTGTAAATAATAGAAAAAAACAGTATTAGGAGATCAGATGTAACCCGGAAATAATTATTACATGTTCCAAGTCAAAATGAACAGACAAAAATACGAAGCTCCACATGAAGTCGAATTAAAAGTTATAGTGGTAATTCAGATCCAAGGTGATGTTCTTCACTCATGGAAATGTTAGTAAAAACATTTCTAAAGCAAGCCCAAATGACAGGCAAATACTGCCATTCCTACAAATTTACCTAAGATGCAGCATAACTGTACTCAATACCTCATTGGAAAATAAATGATTTTTTTTTTTTTTTTTGCTTCATTTCTGCCCAATTCATTGATGCAGGATCTCCTTTCCTCGTAAGTTTCACTTGCAGCAACACTTTTCAACTCCATAATGGAAACAGGAAATGCGGAAATGCCTACTCACGCGTTGTTGGAGTGAAGGAACTGGTTCTTGGGGCTCCTTGAGTGGTGGGGGGCGGCGGCATGGTGGGAGGAGTCAGCCTGGACGGAGTCTTCACATCCACAGGTGAGTCTGGCATCGTGGAGTGCTTCTCAGTGCGATCTGGAGGGTGCCAAGGGGACATGTTACTTTCTCAAGCACCCCAGTGCTCTACGTGGGGGGAGTCATTGGTTTCACAGACAAGTCAACGCAAGAAACCCATCACCTCCCATCAATCACACAAGGCTGATCTGCTGAGGTTGAAACCAGGACCTTATCATCTAGACCCCGCTCACGTGGGTGCAGCACAGAAAGCAGGGCCTCTGGGTAACTGGGTAACTGGGTGGCTTCCCATCTCATTGTTATCTCTAGCGTGGGCAAATGCTCCCTTCTTAGTGTTATAAACCACAGCAAAACTTCACCCAAAGCAGGAGCCAACATTGGCAAGAGGTAAAAAATAGATGAGGAAGTAAGATGGCAATGGACCCCTCCATTCGCTTAGAAATAACACCCATCTGAAGTCCTGTGGTGTAGACGAGATACCGGTAGGAGCCAGCGATGTTCACAACCCCTCTCAGCCCCTTCCCATGCCGAGTGTCCCAGCCTGGGGGGTGACACAGGGTATGTGTCAGGACCTAGATCTCACGTCAGTGTTTTCTGCCCTGTTTGAACCACCACCACCCCCTCAACGGTGCATGTCACACCATGAAGGTAAGCTGTTGTTTACCTAGATGTGGTGAGTTTACGACACATCGCTTCCAAAAACATGAGGCCGATAATTCAACTGACAATCTCAGGTAGAGTGAGAATAAGAAAAGTCCCAAATTGAGAATTAAAAAGAACGGAAGACCACCCAGATGTTTGTCATGAGCAGGTGACAGATCGGGAGAAATTTCCTGATGACCCAGTAATGAACATGTGCTCAGCCTGTTTTCTACTAAGTATGTTTCTCTTGAAATGTTATTTTTTTCCCCTCAGTCTAATCTCTTTATCAAATCTCCAGTAAAAAAAAAAAAAAAATACACTGCCAAAACCGGTTTGGCTCAATGGATAGAGCGTCAGCTTGGGGACTGAAAAGTCCCGGGTTCGATTCCAGTCAAGGGCATGTACCTTGGTTGCGGGCATATCCCCAGTAGGGGGTGTGCAAGAGGCAGCTGATCGATGACTCTCTCATCTATGTTTCTAACTCTCTATCTCTCTCCCTTCTTCTCTGTACAAAATAAATAAAATATACATTTAAAAAAATATAAAAAATAAATAAATAAATAAATAAATAAATAAATAAATACAAGTTTGTTTCTTTAGATCCAATTTTCCTTAAACATGGGTAGAGATGTTCACACACACACACACACACACACACACACTCCAAACATGTTTATGGCTCCTTTTGCAGCCTTAGATACAGATATTTCGCACTCAGAGTGTTTGAAAAATAAAATAACAGACTATTGTAAAGCATGGGTCTTTTAAAAATATGATAGCCATATGGGTACAGAGTTAATGACTCAACATAACTGAAAAGTCAATTATTACAAGAAAATGGAAAGCCCAAATTACCCCTCTGCCCATCCTAACACTACCTCACCTTTACTCACAGCAGACTCCCAAGACTTGGGTTGCCAGAGGACACAATATTTAAACGTTGAAATTATGTTAATGCCATGCTGGGGAGGAGGTGTAGAAAGGCCATTCTCATCCTCATCCTCCTCATCCTCCTCAGAAGAGCCCTCTGACGGAGGATCGACCTGGTCGGTGGCACCAGTGCCTCTGGTTGGGCACCGCTAAACGGCGCAGAGTGGCTGAGTGCTCTGAGTGAGGGGATGGCAAAGCCCCGGTGGAGGGCACTCCCACCTTTCCCTTACTGCTAAAAATAGCCTTCATAGTGCCTTTCCACGTTATTTAAAAACCAGTATCAGTAGCCCTATCCGGTGTGGCTCAGTGGTTAGAGGGGTGTGGGTCCAATTCCCAGTGAGGGTAAGGGGGGCATGTACCTAGGTTACAAGTTCCATACCTGGCCCCAGTCAGGGCACATGCAGGAGGCAACCAATTGATGTATCCCTCTCACATGGATGTTTCTCTCTCCCTTCTCTCTCTCCTCTCTCTCTCTCTCTCTCTCTCTCTCTCTCTCTCTCTCTCTCTCTCTTCCCCCTCCCCCTTTCACTCTTTCTCTCCCTCCCTTTCACTCTCTAAAAAAAAAATCAATGGGAAAACATCCTGGGTCCAGAATTAACACACAGACAAGAAAAGGGTCAGTCAAAACATTATTCTAGAAAAAACACAGACGTTAGGCGGGTTTGGAACCACTTCTCCACTCCTTCAATTCATCCCACCATCTACTCACCTCACCCAACCTCAGCAACAGGGGGCTACCCAGCTTTCTGCTAAGGGTGCAGCGGAGGGAAGAGGTTCAGCAGGAATCGAGTCTCCCTAAATAAAGGCAACTATTCCTGCTATGCCCGGGAAGGCGGGATAAGGGGGGCCTGCCGCAGTCAGCTGGGAGATAACAGTGGGAACTGCTGGTCCATCTGGTTTTCATTCTGCTAACACTCACGCTGAGCTGTGAGAGAAGCCAGGCCAGACACACAGGGGAAGCACGTCGGGGCACAGACGGAGGAAGGAGGCGCAGGAGGAGGGGGGTGGCGGAGCGGGAATAATGAAAGAGAGTAAAGTAGGGAGAGGAAAAGAGAAGAAAGAGAGAAAAACCCAAACAGGGAAAAGAAATAGCCAGAAGGGGGAGAAACGTGCCTTGGACAGCTTCGTTTACCTCCAGAGCTAAGAGCTGAGCCTGTGAGGACACAGACCCCACCTTACTCAACTTGACCTGGTTCTGGAGCAATGCCTACACTTGAAAACATACCTTGAACTCATATTATTTATTTATTAAGGAAGACAAAAAGAAATAAGCTACAAAGATGACAGTGGGTTTCCTTTTCAAACTTTAGATCATCTTGGTCATTCTGAATTCCTCTCTCCAGTGTTAGGGGAAAAAATTGATATAGCATAACTTTTATTTGAAAACATTTTGATTATGTGACTTGGTCCGTATTTGCAATAGAACTCTCTCCAGATATCATCATCATCATCATCATCATCGAAGGTAGGCAACTGATTTTAAATTCTTGAAATGCCATCCATGTTTTAGGAACAATAACAAGTAAGCCATGCATAGAAAACCACCCCAACTATAACGGTAAAGTGTCCGTTCGAGCTGGAGTCCATGTGGAGCGCTGAGCACTTGACAGGAGCCACATTGCTGAGATGGTTCGCTGTACTCTGATCAAATGGAGTTCCAGCCCAGAGGTCCTACAAACTCAGACAAAGTGGGGCCATCTGGAACTCATTCCGGCCTGTTCGGCGCAATCAAGCCGGGATGGAGATGGATAGTGAAATAACCAGTCAGGCCTAACCCTTCCACACAAACACACACACACACAACTCTCTGGAGTCCGAAGATTTCAACTAAATTCAGAAAATGTGTTTCAAGTATGCTGAGTTTCTGCTGCATTTGTTTTGAGTTAAAAAAAAAAAAAAAAACATTCTGAAATATATAGGCTTGTAATTTTTATGGCAAACAGTAAAAAAAAAAAAAAAAAAAAAAAAAAAAAAAAAAAAAAAAAGCTGATTTAACCGCAGAAGCATTTCACTCTGTTTCAAATTAGAAGATGTGCTAAAACCAATATCGTTGTAATATTTCTTATGTAACTTTTAAGTGCATGTAAGTAGATTGTTCTCGCACGTAATTTCTATTTTTGGTTCCTGTAGGAACGCTGACATTTATTGAAAGATATTTTTTTTTTCTACTAAGTAAGTTCATCTCTTAAAATTTCAAACTTTTTTCCCCTCAAGCTAATCTCTTTATCAAAGGATATGAGAAAAACAATTTCTATCTGATCTGCAAGGTATGTGTAATCAAAAGAACTGACTTTCCTTCTACCTTAATGATTCACACCAGTTCCAAACAAGATTTTCCACATGTGGTTATTTCAACCCATATGGCATCAATCCAACACATATGTACTAAAGATGGCTGGTGCATGGAGGAAAGTGTGGTGTGTATAAATACATTATGGATACCATTTCAATGTCAGGGTCGTCCACAAGTGGTATGTTTTCCATTTCCTTTTTTTTTTTTTTTAAATAAAAGGGAAAAGGTATGTCATAATCTACCCTGACACTTATTTTACTTTCCGTGAGTTCAAACAGTTCCAGACATGTTTTTAAAGTATAAAGAATAGGCCGTCTACACTTCCCTTGTTTACATACTACTCAAGAGATGATTAGTGTAAAAAGACAGGAAGTTCAGCGTGGATAGATTGTATATCTTTCTCCATCAGAGTTTATTATGTCCATGAGGACAGCCATGCCTCAAGGTGTGATGGGACTGAGGACCTTCTTGGTCAGCTAGTCATTAGTCCAGAGCTAGTCTTGTTGGAATAAGTGTTAGTTAAGAAAGCTAGGAGGTATGCACTAAAGAGGATGAATCCCAAGCGGAACCAAAGTACTACTAAGTGAGAAAGAGAAGACAATTAGGAGAGGAAAAACACTGGGTTTAGGATTTCATTTTTGTCTCTCCAGAAAATATGGCAAACACAGTTCTGACAATACAGCCATTTAGCGACTCCAATGTTTGGGAGTGAGATGTTCCAAGAGGCTGATGGAGACCAGATGGTGGCCAGCCCGGCCCCGCAACGGTGCCATCTTATTCCCTGAGAGCACGCAGGGTAATGTGCACGCCTGCTCAGAACCCTGCACAACACAATGCCTGAGAATAAAAGGGAAATGCTCACATTTTAAACATGGCAACGTTATAAAGTGGGAGAATGTCTGGCATAGTAGGAGAATTTCTAGGTTTCAAGTGTAGACTCAACAATTAGTTGAGTAGTAAGGCCTCGGGCAAGGTAGTCATCCTGCACCTCAGTCCCTCATAAGAAGAATGGGAACACAGCCTGGCCCGAGTGGCTCAGTTGATTGAACATCATCCTGTGCACCCAAAGGTTGCTGATTCAATTCCCAATTTGGACATACAGTCAGGTTACTTATTCAACCCCCAGTCAGGGCATGTACGAACAGCTACAGAAGGCAGCTGATTGATGTTGTTTTCTCTCTAGTCCTCTAAGCTA